GGGATTCCTTACTTACTCTGATTTCTGAAAACTAGACTAGTTTTATCCCTGGAAGGCAAGGAATTGATAACTCCCTTATTCTTCAAGAGCTTATTCATTTTTTCCATAAAATTAAGAGTAAATCAATCTTTATGATTATTAAAATAGATTTAGAGAAAGCTTATGATAAACTAAGATGGAAGTTTATCCTAGATTCCCTTTTAAAGGCTGGTATATATCCTTATCTCTCTAACCTTATCTATGAATGTATTTCATCTCTCTCCATGTTTCTGAACTAGAATAATAGTCCCTCAAAAACTTTCTGGCCCACTAAAGGATTCATCAAGGAGACCCCATTTCTCCATACTTGTTTGTTTTGTGTTTAGAGAGGTTTGCTCATTTAATTCAAGATAAAATTCTTAGTGGAGACTGAATTCCTTTCTCTTTCAGTAACTTTAGCCCTAAGTTGTCCCTTTTTTTTTTTGCTGATGATATTATCCTAGTTGCTAGAGCTAACTTACAACAAGCAAATATCATTAAATCAATTCTTTCATCTTTTTGTTCAGCATCTGGACTTGAAATTAATTTTAGTAAGTCTTCTATATATTTTTCCAAAAACACTAACTCTATCCTTTGTCAGTCTATTAGTGAAAATCTTAATATTAAAACCTTTGCTCAGTTTGGGAATTACCTTGGTATTCCTATCAGTCACCTTAAACTTAATAGATAGGATTTTAACCATATTGTTGATAAGATTAAGAAAAGATTAGCTACCTGGAAAATGAATAATCTTTCTATGGCTGTAAGGGTCTCTCTTGCTCAATCCTGCCTGTTGAGTATACCTGCCTACTCTATGCAATCTCTACTCCTCCCTACTTCTGTCTGTGATGATATTAACAAAATATGTAGAAACTTTATATGAGGATCTTTAGGAAAGAGAAAGTGTCATCTTATAGGTTGAGATACAATTTATAAATCCAAAAGTGATGGAGGTTTAGGTTTTAAGGATATTAAAGTCTTCAATAAAGCATATCTCCTAAAGCTCTATTGGAGATTGATTAACTCTCCTAATAATTTATGGACTCAGATTCTAAAGAACAAATATAAATTTATTTTGGGCCACACTCCTTCTATATATAATTATCCTAAGGTTTCTCACATGTGGAAAGGTTTTGTCTCAATTTGGCCTATTTTCTCTAAAGGTCTAGGCTAGGTTCTGGGGATGGTGCCACTATAAAATTCTAGATTGATTGCTGGCTCCCCCACACTCAATCTCTTTCTAGTCTTTCCTATTTTCCCTCTCTGGAATTTGATATGGATAAACTTGTGGCCTTATACTCTTCTCAAGGAGCCTAGCAGTTAGATGATACTGTTTCCTTACTCCCTAGTCAGCTTTGTGATTTAATAAAAGAGCTGCCCCCACCTTCTGGTTTTGGTGATCAGGATCTGTTCTATTGGAAGTTAACAAATAATGATAAATTTTCACTTAAATCTGCTTATGTTATGCTATCTAAATCTTTGTTGGATCCTTCCCCCTCTATTGAAATTTTCAAACTGATATGGAAATGGAGAGGTTTACCCAAAATTAGTTTATTTATGTGGAAAGTTGGGCATGGTAGACTGTTAACTAACTTGGAGAGATATAATAGGGGTATGACTGATATATCCACTTGTCCTACGTGTGGGGCCAATTGTGAATCTATAATTCATGTTCTTCGTGATGGTTTTTATGCACAAGATGTTTGGAAACATTTCATATTTTCTAATAACTGGTTTATTTTTTTTAGTTGCAATGTTGATAATTGGATGAAATTTAATCTGTCTAGAAAACATCATAACAAGTTCCTGTGTGGAATAGGCTATTTGGCTTTATTATCTAGTTCATTTGGAATGATAGAAATTTCTTTATTTTCCAGAATACCTCTATTTCTCCTGACCAGTTAGTTGGAAGGATTATGCATGAATTTAACTTCTTTAATTGCTAGTTTAATCATTCTTCTCACTCTGTTTCTGATTTACTAGTCCAACAGGCTCAAGTTAAATGGAACCCTCCTAGCCATGGGCATCTTAAACTTAATGTGGATGGATCAATCCAGCCTGATAAACAAATTGTTGGGTATAGCAGTCTTATTAGGGATGACCAGGGAAGTTTTATTGCTGGTTTCCATGGTAGCACCCACTATTGCCCTCCCTTAATTGCAGAGTTTATGGGCCCTTTATTGGGGTCTACATCTGGTCATACAAATGCAATTTCAATGCATCTAGATTGAAAGGGACTCTAAATCTGCTCTTCAACTTGTTTTGAATGTTCCATCTACCTATCATCCTCTCTTTTCCTTGCTTTCTGATATCATATTTTTATTGGGGATATTCAATTTGTTAGATTTAATTTTGTTTGTATGGAAGCCAATCAATTGGCTTGCTAAGTATGGAGCTGAGAGTTGTGCTCCTTGTGCTTGTATTAATTACCATCCTTTTCCTCTTTTTCCTTTTCTCTGTCTGGATACATCTTGCTCCAGAAATATTAAGCTTTAGGTTATTTGTTTTGTTGAGCGTTTAACCTCTTGTAATAGCAAAAAAAAAAAAAAAGATAAAAAAAATGTTGCCGACACAAAATCTACTCACACGAATCTATGACGATTTATTTTATATATAAAAGCTTTAAAACATTAAATAATAAAAATTAATATTTAATTAAAATAAATTAAAAAAGAAGAAGAAAGCAAATCTGCATAAACGGAAAGAAATGAAACACTTCTACATATAGGAGTTACATTTACCAAATACTAACGATTCTTCTCATAAGTCTCTTCCGATTTTTCCTACTAAAGTTAGAGTATGATTCGAAAGAAATTTTTGAAAAAAAAATAAAAAATAAAATAAAATATATATAATTTTAAATTTAAAAAATTATTTATTATTTATAATAGTTTTGTTAATTTTAATTTTAAAATTAAGTTTAAATATTTAAAAATATAATAAATATTTTTATTTTTAATAAAATTTCACTATTATTAATTATTTATTTTTTATAGTTGAAATTAATAAAATCCTATTTATAATAATAAATATATTATTAATATATTAAATTTTTATTAATATATTAATTTATATTTTCTTATTTTAAAAAGTATTAATTTTAAATATAAATATATGTCTCCTCCCTCTCCTCCAAAATCATCTTTTCAAACAATTCCTAAAATCTGCCCCACCCTTCACCGTCGCCGCAGTGGCTCTGCCTCTTTCTCACACGCGCGCATGCTGTTTGCAGAACCATTCCTTCTTGGAGGCCTCCAAAGCCATTTGCTCCCTCAACATGACTTTAATCACTTCTCTCGAGCTCAACTATCTCGTGTTTCGCTACTTTCAGGAATCAGGTTTCTTTCATTTTCTTCATCCTACTTTTTGTCTATTACCAAATTCCTTCCTATGCTTTTCGTCTTGCGCGCTTTCTCTTTTCTTGCGCTTTAGTGGTCTATGAAATATCAGGGGTTTAGGGTTTGGCCAATTTCGAGTTTCCGAATGCTGGCGGTTTTCAGCTGGTTTGACCCAGCGTTGAGAATATTGTTGCTACTAAATTAGGGTTATGGAAACTTACTTAACAGAGGATAATTTCTATGCTGCATTTGTCGTTCCGAAATTAGGTGTTTCAGTTTTTTGGCTGAAGGTAGAAGGAAGAGCGAAAGTTGTTAGATCTGTTTTAAAAGATGGGCGTTGGTGTCGAGAGTTTACTCAATGATATACATTAAGTTCGCAACTATTTGTTGTGATGTGCTTGATTTATTTTAATAGTGAATAATAGCGTATATTGTCAAAATTTTTGCTCAATTTGAAGGAGATTAAGAAAAGTTTATAAACTAACGATTCAAAGAATCCTAAAGCTAAACTGAACATATAATATATGCAGCAATGTTAACTAAACTTTCTGCAGAATTGTGTATTATTTTTTAAGTTAATTATGTGATGAATTGTGCCAATGTAGCGTACATGCCAACAGCTCAAGATTATACTTATTAGGTGTTTAATAGTTTCTTATTTGCTTTTAGGTGATTGCTTTTGAAATATGATTTTCGTTGTATTGACTATTAATGTAAGTTAGTAATTGTACTTAAAAACAACTAAAGTAATACTAATATTAATTGAAAGGAAAAGTAGATGAAAGGAAAATTGGGCTGGATCTCAGGCAACAGATGAAATGACCCTTAGCTGGTTTTAAGTGTAAAAACTTTACTTGTATTGTTAACATTTAAACATATTATTTAAATTGTAAAACTCATTAGAAGATTTGTCCTTTATATATGACTTTTTACATTTATATTCTTTTCACGAAAAAATGCCAATGCAAATTTCTCATTTATAAAATTGAATTTCTTAAACGATTTTGAAAAGATAACTATGAAGAATACTACATTGTTGTTGTTTTGTCAGCAGAATAGACTTGGGCATCCATTAATGTGAGAAAAGCTTCTTGATAGTGATTTTATAATTATATATATTTTTACTTAACAAGAAAAAGTGTGGCTTTCCATATTTATGAGAATGTCTGGATGTGCAAAACAACTGAATCCGTTTTTGCTTTACTGATGTTGTGACTGCAGGTTTCACGCATGCTGCTTTTGCATTTGGAAATGAGGCTGGTATTAACAAATGCCCCATTGATGGAAATTTGGTACCACCGGGTGCTCTTATTAAACTTGTTCAGAAGGGGCTACAGTACTTGGAGATGGAAGCCAACTTGAGCAATGTTAGCATTCTTTATATTTTGTACTCTAGTGTCTATTTTTTTTATAGCATCCATCTGTTTGAGTAGATTATTTAACCTTTTGTACCCTAGGGTTCATGTTGATCAATGTTAGCCTGCCAGTGTGATGCAGAAGTAGATGAAGATTTTTCGTTCTTACAACCTTTGGATCTTATCACAAAGGATGTGCATGGTCTTAGGAAAATGGTAAATGAAAGAAGGAAAAAACTATACAAGGATAGAAATAAGGAATCTGAAAAGGAGCATGAAGGTGGGCGAGGATGGGTAAGAGAAAAAGAAAGACATGAAAGGGAGAAAGATTGTGAAAAGGATGGAGAGAAGGTTGAAAATCATAAAGAGCAAGAACAGCAACATGAAAATCCGACTGGTAGAGAAATGGTCACAGATGAAGAAGATTGGGTGACTGTAGACCACGAAGAGAATGAAGCATTTAGAGGTAATCATCTGTTCAATGGAATTGGTTTACAATGTCTTTTATCAAAATGTTCTCTGTTGCATGTTTGACATTATTTTTGTTAATTATTTCCCTTAAATATCAATCTCTTATAATCCTACATTCCTCGGTTTTTAACCATTTTCTGTTTATGCATACAATTTTTTGCTTGTGTTAACTCCTTGTAAAATTTATAATATATTTTCTTGCATGTTGTGATTAATCAATTGCTTGATGAATGAGAGTGAGCCTTGGATCAACAGCTATCTTGCTGCTTTATGACCTGAAGGCAACAGCTTAAAAACTTAAAATCCTAGAAACTGCCCATCTGCTTGTGGGGCAGGGTTAATGCTGCATATATTTACCCTTGTTAGACCCCACATAGTGGGGAGCATCATGCTTTGAGAAGCTTTTTTTGTGATTAGTTGATGAATGGTGTAATGACTGATGAATACAATGACTCCCTGATATTGGGGATAGCTAATAAATCTGAGTTTATTTTCATTAAGTACTTGTTGTTTTCATCTGTTTTCTATCAAGAATTCATGATACTTGTAAAAATATTTCTTATTTGGCTTGCTTAATCAGTATGAATTCACTAAAATTTCATTAATTTTTATACGCCCAGAACCCATGGACATCTGTACCACATCCACATCCCAGCCATGTGAAATTCCTGGGTCAGATGTGACAGTTTTGGAAGGGCATACTTCAGAGGTAAAGTATTTCATCAATGTGTTTTTTGTTTGTAAACTTCCTTAGTTTTGCTTTCATCTACTGTTTCTTCTGTAAAACCCTTTATTAATGGGCCTCTTTACTGTTTACTTAGGTGTGTGCTTGCGCATGGAGTCCTACAGGATCTCTTCTAGCATCAGGGTAGGTATATTCTTCATGATTGATTTAATTTTTGCATTTTATACATATTCCTGTGCGTATTTTTATAGTTCTACACTATAATGTTCATTTTGCATTTCCACTTGCTATCCTTCCTTTTTGATGAAGAGGTGCTACCTGTATTCAAGATTTTGTGCTTGTTCATGTTTGATGATTTTGGCAAGAGTGATTGCTATTGGTCTAGTCAAAATTCCTTCACTCTTTAATTTGGCTTTGGCATTAGTTATATCACTGCTTATACTTTTGGGTATTAAGGACTACTATATTCTCTCAAAAGCAGGTTATACGGTTTTAAAAAATAAATAAAAATGTTTGAAAACATGTTCCTGGTTTTAAGTTTCTGCACATCAACTTGGATTTTTGTTTATAGAATTAGAGTTAAAACAAATTTAAAATGTTTCAGAATCTGAGGTTGTATGAGGAACTGATTTTGAAGTGCCATTATGGCGATTATACCATTAATAGCAATTTCATAGATAATATCCACAGACAATTTTTCTTCCTCATTTGCTGGACTTTGTTGAAGAACCTTTGAATGATTTGGGCTTTAATGATATCCAACATGTTTCAGCCATCTTCACTGGCATCTGAATTCCATGTTTCCATGGAGTTTAAAGTTTAAACTAACGAAGTTCTCCATCTTTCCACAATTTCTCATCTCTCTCTCTCACACACACACACATACACAAATTACAGATAGGTTATGTGTGGTATATATTGGATATGGTTGAGGAGTTAGTTGAATCATGACTCTTGGGTTTCCTGGGTAACATTAAGTATGCAATTTATTTTGTGATGGAACACTAATGTAAACTTACAAGAGACAGAGGCACATTGTTTTTTCCCCCTTTCTTGAATTCATTGCTTTATGATAATATAATGATATGCTTTTCACTTTACTGAGCTAATTGTGCCCCTCCATTTCTAAAACACTCAAAAATAATTTTATTCTCAAGATTTTTGTTTTGAAATATTGTTTGTTACTACCGTAATTAAAAACTGTTTTATTAAAACAAATGAACTAGAATGGGATCAAGAGGCCTTAAATTTTGTTGGCAAAAAATTTCTAAAGACGTGGTATTAGGAGCACATGACAGTTATCTTTATGACATTGAATTCTAATTCTACATATCCTTGTTATCTATTTCTTGTTTAGAAAATGACTAGGGAATATTTACATATGACATTAATCTTTTTCCTTTGTAACTTTAGGTCTGGGGATTCAACAGCTCGTATTTGGACAATAGCAGAAGGGAGATGCAAATCTGGTTCGCAGGATGGCCCTTTGAATGTATTGGTGTTGAAGCATGTTAGGGGTAAAACAAATGAAAAAAGTAATGATGTCACTACACTTGATTGGAATGTGAGTTTGATTTCATATTGTGATTTGAATCTAAGATGATTATTGATAGTGACTTCACCCTCCCTGCTGTTTTCTGATTTTCCACATACATCTCTATCTTTTTCAAACATATGCCAAGTTGCCAACCTCACTTAAGCAGGGGAAGTTTGTGACAAGGAAATTTTACATGGCTTTTAGTGCATATTTTATATTTTCCATTTTGAAGGGAGGTTTGTGTAGGTCTATTATGTGATAATCAAGAAAATTGATGGGAGGTTTCAGGTTTATCATTTTCTTCTCAAAAATACTTTTTCCGCCTGAACTTTTGACTTAAATCATTTAAGTATGATTCTCTCTCTGTCTGCATACCTGGGTATTATTTGTGTGACTAAAATATGTAAAATCATGGTTATTGTTTGTAGTATTGAATACGTTCATCATAAATATTTTTTCATATTTTGTAAACTTTATCTCTAGCTGCTGTTGTGCAGGGGGAGGGGACTCTACTTGCAACTGGTTCATATGATGGGCAAGCAAGAATTTGGACCACTAATGGTAGGCCCTTTTTTATATACCGACTTTTCAGTATTGGCTTTTGGAGTTATATGTAATTAGATGAAAGAGATCAAAGATGCTATGACCTGTGATCTTACTTTTTGGTATGATATTTCTGTTTGCTAGCTATGTTAGACTTCATTCTTGATAATGAGGTTGTCTGCTATTGTACTTTGTTCTCTTTATATATTTTTTAAATTTAATTTCTAACTTTTATATAACTTTAAAAATGTGTGTATTATACTGAAAAGTGAAAACTAGCTATTATGTTAAAGTTTGTCTATTTTTTGCCTCTCCTGAATTTTATTTCTGGATCTGTACCTCGATACTTCCTCAACTATTTTGGCTATAAAAAAGCGTAGTTGTTTCTGTAGCTTGTTAATCTGATAATAGGTTAGCCATATAACAGCCTGTGCAGACAACTGTGATTTCTTCAAACGAAAGAAGTTGTATAATTACTCTAATATAATGATTTTCTTCCATTAGAAACTTGATATGACGAGTCTCCAATTAATTGATTTGGGTAATAGAGAATATTATACTTAAACAATTTGCGTCACTTGAATGTTTGTGTCTGTCTGTCTGTCCATCTAATTTCTGTGAATACCCTCATTGTTTATCTTAATGTTTGATATTGTTAGTTACATTCATGCTATATGTAAAGTCTTAAGTGTATATTCTTGATTTCCTTTTTCGGTAATATGTGTATTTTGATTTTCTCTTGTGACTTCAATCAAATTCATTATTTTGATATTATCTTGATCATGAGCTGGTGTGTTTGATCAGGTAACTTGAGGAGTACATTAAGTAGACACAAGGGACCCATTTTCTCTCTGAAGTGGAATAAGAAAGGTGATTATCTTCTCACTGGAAGTTGTGATCAAACTGCAATTGTATGGGATGTGAAAGCTGAGGAATGGAAACAACAATTTGAATTTCATTCAGGTAAAATTTTGAATACGCTTTTCTTAGCAAGGAAAAGTTGTATAATATATAAAGCGCTCTTGGTGCGAGTAAACCATGTTTATGGATTATTTTTAAATTTTGGGCTTGACATGTTTAGGTCCAACACTTGATGTTGACTGGCGTAACAATGTGTCATTTGCAACAAGCTCCACTGACACCATGATACATGTTTGCAAGATCGGTGAAGACCACCCCATAAAAACTTTTGCTGGTCACCGGGTTTGTACACCTGACCTTGTTTTAAAGATTATGATATGCACTGTTACAATTCTGAGATTACACCTTTGTGTGTTTGGGGGTGGGGGGAAGAGAAATTAAAAATGATGGTTCTCTGAGGATGAGTCCATCCCCTACTTTAATGAAAACTAGTAAAAAATAGCAAGTTTGGTTACAACTCTTGGATTGTACTTTGAAGAGAAATCCTGACCAAGTTTTCTGATTACTTAGGTGGATTTATTATAATTGGATAGAAAAATCAGTAGTTAGCAACCTGCTTAACTACTTTATAGGTTCTGCATTAAACAAACATATTTCATTAAAAATGCAATATAGTGCTTGGACAGTCTTTACTGTGAACTTTCTGCAATTTCAGAATGAAGTTAATTGTATCAAATGGGATCCCACTGGTTCATTACTGGCCTCGTGTTCTGATGATAGCACTGCAAAGGTAATATTACTGACTGATCTGATTTAATTTATCATTCCATAATAGTTTTTTTTTTTTCTGTTGGTACTGGATTTTGCAATCAAACACTTATTTTATGAAATATTTTGTATCAAATGTCTCTTTTTGCTGAACTGCTTGTAAAACTGATCTGTTTGTACTATGTATGTTGTTTCTTGTTTTGTAGATATGGAGTATGAAGCAAGATAAATGTCTCCATGATTTTAGGGAGCATTCCAAGGTACTAATTTTGGATATTTCTCAATGTCAGATTTTCTATTTATGTTTTGTTTAGAATTTTGTACTTTTTATGCAGAGAGATGGAAGAACTAAATAATTGTTTTGTAGGACATATATACTATCAGATGGAGCCCAACTGGTCCTGGTACAAGTAATCCTAATAAAAAATTAGTGTTGGCTAGGTATGTAAATGTTAGTTGCTTGAAGTTAGATTCATTTCTCTTGATTTACTTTCATCCATTTATTAACGATGTCTTATGTTTTAGAATTAGTTTTCTCAGTGTATTTGTGACATCCAAATCTTAATTGCTAAATGACCACTGCATTTGTTCAACTGAAATTGGCAGTACTCTAAATGGCATTGCTTGGTGCTAACTATAGAATCATGTGCCACCTTTGCCATGTTACAGATTCCAGTTGATGCCTACATGTTTGTAGGAATTAGACTTCTTGATTGATTGCCCCTCTAGCTCTTAATTATTTTTCACATACTGTATATGCCTGAGTTTTCTATTAAATTAATGCTATTTACATTTTCTAAAATGCTGTTTCTTTTAGTTCAATTATGATGATGACCAATGCCCCTGTATGCAATTATACTAGCATTTTTATTTGTTTTATTTTATTTTTCCTAATACTACACAAAAAGCGTGTTTCATTTTTAAAGCTACCTAGTCATCTTTTTTGTGCAGTGCATCATTTGACTCAACGATAAAGCTATGGGACGTGGAACTTGGGAAACTTATCTACAGCTTGAATGGACACAGGTATATTTGCCTTTCTAGCTCTATTTATGTATGGAATGGAATGAAGCATAAAATTTGGGGTCCCAGCCTTTCCTTTTTGTTTCAAAGTGGTTGACATTGTAATAAAGGGGCTCGTCAACATGAAGCTTGTAATTTTTGTGTGTATTTCAGAGCTTTATTGAATTTTTTTATGTTCCAAACTTCTACTTTATGTGGTAATAATTATACCCCTGGTCCTATAAAATGTATTATTTTCGTTGAAAACATTTCAGACGTAGTAAAGCAGAATAATAGTTGGTTGTTTCTTTAAATATAGCCATTTCCTTTGATTGCAACTCTGTTATTTGGTCCTGCAGAGATCGTGTATATTCTGTTGCATTCAGTCCGAATGGTGAGTACTTAGCCAGTGGATCTCCTGACAAATCGATTCACATATGGTCCTTGAAGGAAGGCAAGATCATTAAAAACTACACTGGTGATGGAGGCATTTTTGAGGTCTGTTGGAATAAGGAGGGTGACAAGATTGCTGCCTGTTTTGCAAATAATACAGTTCGTGTTTTGGATTTCAGATTGTAATATCCTGAGAAGCACTAAGATATTTTGGTTAGTTAATTTATTCCCCTCTCCTTGCTTTTGATGAGATCGGTGGAACTGTAATACCCCTATTTTGGGTGGGTAGTTTCCCCTGTCAATCATAGTTGTAGGGCATAACTGATGGTTCTTGGATCCTTATGTGCCTTGCTATAAATCATAGTTGTAGGATTGCATTCTTGTCATTCTTGATTAGAAATTGTAAACATTTAGTTGGACTAAATCATGCATTTTCGTTTTACCCGCGTTTACGTAATTAAAACCCTGCTATTTGTAGCATCCCATTCAGCTGCCATATTGCCCCTGGGTATTCTCTTTAACCTTGGGTAGGATGTTTCCAAGAACTTTTTACATGTTGACCAAATAAAAAATAACTTTTACATTGATTTTTGAATTTATCTTATTATTTAAGTATTTAATTTGAAATTTGAAATTTAAAATTATTAGTTAAACTTGTGAAGGGAATTTATGACTTTCATATTAGCCCTTCTTGAAATAAATTTAATGGTAAAATTTATCAAAATAAACTTATAGGATTAACTTTTGACATAATTTCTTGTCTAGTAAGATCTTGTAAAACATATGCTTAATTAAGCTGTTTAACCAAGCACTTCCCCTCATTTTGTAATGCGGTCTCAGGCAAAACATACTGTTGGTTTAGTTTCACATCTGGCATTAGAGTAGCCAAGATCCTATTATACACGGCAGCTTCTAGGGTGCATCATGCCCTCATGAGTTTGGGTGTACTGGTACACAGATGAATTACCTGCTACAGTAGGAGTTACCGGTTATATATATTTATATAAAATTGCTAGAAGATCCTTTGATATTGTAGTAATGGCAACAAATTAAATGCAATGTGATTAGTTTCGTAATTAAATTTGAAAATAGAATAAAAATATAACAATTTTAAAAAAAAAATGTTCCTTATCAATTAAATTATTGGATTGAGAATTTACATAAAATAAATCAAATCTTCAAAATTTTATATAATTTATTTACTAATTTGTTTTAATGTATAATATGATGTAAAATATAATTATCTACAAGAAAATGGATCAAATTATACGTGTAAGTTAAACTTAATCTTACATTGTTTAATAATTTTTTTATCGATAATTTAATATAAAACTAACTGTTATATTAAAAGTTTCAATAGATTATGTTTGCAAAATTATAAATGAATCTAAAATCATTTGATACTTTATTCTTATACATTAAATTTATATACATTTGAAATATATAAAAATAAAGATCTTTTAATTGCATTTTCATAGTTCAATTTGAATAAATTTGACATAGATAATTAAGATAACATATAGCTATAATTCAATAATTGGTTCAATAAAAATCATATTTTATATAAAATTATTGACGGGGTAAGAGTCTTTTTGTTTAGTGTGGTGTAATTTGATTCCTCTTTTATTTATATATTATCTACATAATCATCAAAATAATAATGACATGATTAAGCATTTAGATTTGTTAATCTTATACTTTATACATCATTAAGTGGGGTAAGTATGTAATACTTACATTCAGCATCTATCAAACTTAATTTTCTTTTCAGTAACTCACGCGTTGTACCATCTAAACCAAGCTTAGACCTCGCTGCAACTTAATCACTAGTACAGGTTTCATGACTCATCCAAGCTCAAAACTTGAGTTGTATATCATTTGGATCGAGCTCCCCTCATCTTGGTATAAATTGCCACCGTTGTTTTAAAAAAAAGACATTGTGGACAAAAGGGTGTGTCTAAAATTGACCCTTAATTGCATGGGAGAGGAAGTTTAATCTGTGATTTCACTAAGACAGATAATGATAAACTTGGATCCACATGTAGCAAAGTTAATACTAATCGACATGGAGTCTACAATTCATGACACAAACACTTTTTATTATTAATTCTTTTATGTGAATTTCAATATACAATTTGAATTGACTCTTTGTTCAATTTTCTAACAATATCTACATAATTTTTATCTAATGATAAGAAAATACATTCCCAACATTTCTCTGATTGTAACTATTTTTGTCAACTAAGTTTGTCCTCTTAAATGAAAACTGTTCCCTCGTGTTCGATGCGGGCTAGGCTGCACTATCTCTTTGGGCCATAGTCCAGCCCAATATTGGCTTGGTTCACCCAAAGTCTGGGAACCACACTAGGGTTTAGCTTCTTGCCTAAACCCCTAATCGTGTCGTGGGTTCAAGTTGCGCAGTGAGCAAAGGCAAAGCAATGGCTTGGCGCTGTGGATCTCTCTCTCGGTCGTTGCTCTCCGCCGCGAGAACGGTGCCAAATCGTTCCTCTATCTCTCGCCTTCACCACCCTTCCTCTTCTTCCCTTCGTTCTCATCTTCTCCACTCTCGCCGCCCCCTCATTATAGTCCCTAGGTAAGGTAATTTTGCTTATTTCATTTCTTACCTATTTTTCATATTTTTCCAATTCAAATTTTATTTTACAAGGGCTATGGGATTTCTCGGGTGCACGCAATCGCTGATGCCACTGCACAGCGCTGACGCCGCCGCTCGTCTCACTTCTCACATTTCCGTCGAATCTCGCGCTTGCTGCGAATTGTCCCAGGGTACTTGTTCCTTCCTATTTCGCATTTCTTAAATTACCTTGTGCCATTGCATACCTGTTCTTCACAATATTATTAATTACGCTCTTATCTCATGTGTCATGATTTCTGTGTAACGTTTCTTCAAATTCTTCAGTTGGCTCATTTTTACTTGATATGTTTGAGTTACATTTATTTAAATTCTGCATTGTTTTCAATGTATATGCCTTCGTGCTTTCAACAGGTACTTGAATAGACTTTACAAACAGCACCAGTTGTGGTTATATGTATGACTCGACGTAAAATTGGTGGCTAATGCTGTGAAGCAGGAAGCCTGTTGATGTCTTGATGTCTCTTTTCAATACTTTTTGTGCCCTTGGTGGAGATTCGGGTAGTATATTCGAAAAACATTTCAAGTTTTCATTCTTATGAAAAATAAATAAGTATATCTATTCTTCTTTTAGAAACTTCTCAAGCTAATTGAAGAGCATCAACATTGTTTTTCTTTGTATCAGATAATAATAGCATGGTCTAAGATTCAAGTTATATTGAAATTAAGTTCATGTATAGATATTAGTTGGCCTTGTGGATGCTCGTTATTATGTGAGCAGTTGCTATGGTTTTCTTTTGCTCTTGCACAAAATCAAAAGGTTTTATAATGTTGGTTGAATCAGAGTTGCTGTTTGATATTATCAGGCCGTCGCCTACTTACAAGTCCTTTCTATCTATCTATATACAGTACATACCGTGTATCTTTGTCACACTATGCAGTATGCATGGCTAGTGGAGGTCGAACCTGTACTGTAACTCACTTGGCTTATCCAAGCAGGGGTTAATGCAATGTATATTAAACTAGTACAGTTTTATGCAAATGCCATTATTAAGAACTTGCTCAGCCTTCTTCCTTGACCTGGCTTCAGCCTCCGAGCAAGCCTCTAATTAGTTTTGCCTCCTTTTCTTCAAAACCTAGTTAAGGTGATGATGGGACTAATCTCAATTTGTACGTTGAGCAGTTACAAAGCAGATAGGCATTCTTTTATTTTGGGCAATTTGGATGCTTTCTTTAAATGATTGCATTTTTGAGTCACTTTGGGTTTAGGTGACTCCGTGCGTTAGCTATGCTTCCTCAACTTAGTTGAGTCTTGTGACACATCGTCAATTTGGTGTTGCCTCTTATTGAAGTTGATTGTGGTCATGAGTAACATTGATTGAATAATAGTGATGTTGATAATGCGTAGTTCATGAGAAATAAGTAGTGCTATTAGACTGGGTGGGTGTAACAACAGTACTTAATGTAATTCACTTAAGCTTGTCAAATACTTCTTCCGGTCCTTACGTCCATTTTATGAGTCACATTCTAGAAGCTTTTGGTGGTCTTTTTTATAAGACACTAGTTTTTATAAAGCATTTACTGTTTTTTCCTGTTACCCTTAATAAATAGAGTTGGTGGGAACCTAAATTGAAACTAAGAAGGGTGAATATTGATGATAATGGAGTTAGGTTTAAGAGTTCTAAACGAAGGTAAAATTGTTATAGTAATTTTAAGAAAATTAATTAACTTTTACTACTTTTATTGGCCTGTATAATTTAATTAAAAAGGGCCTTATAAAAAAGACCAACGGGAGTATATTTGACGACTAGTAGTAGGACTTACAATGCTTGTTTCTCTATACTACTTACCGAAGAAAACGGTGCACTTGCATATATTGTTCTTATGACTTATTGAAGTTGAATATATTATATAATATCAAAATAATTAGTTTAATTACTTTTGAATTAACAAAGTGCATCTTAGTTCAATGAATTGTGTGCTTTAATTAAAAGAATGGTGGGGCATATCGTAATATGGAATGCACGAGGATACCGTATATTCCTATAGTTTTTCTTTTCCCTTTTCACCTTTTTTATTTTCGTTATTCTAAAGTTTCAATGGTCTAAATCAAACGGACAGAAGCAAACCCTGGCCCACTTTGGAGATTCCTCATTACCTATTCAATACCCGTAATTGTTGCTCGCTTGCACATATTAGCTAACAGTTAGTCCTGACAACCTATTAGGTTGGCCGACAGTTTTGAATCTTTTAAGTTTGAACAAAATATAGAATAGCATGTTAATTTTGTTCGTTTGGAATCTTAAAAACATGGTTCGATCAAAATTTAACAGTAAACTAGCCTCAAACCATGAACTTTCCAAAATGAAAATCAATTAATCACACCCGATGGAAGATGTAGGGCTTTTTGACTTTGTATCAATCAATTAAAATTCTCACGCTTTCCCAAATGCTGTCCTCTTAACATTTCGATTGTGTCTAAATTGCTATACAGCAGCAGATTATATTTTAAAAGTAAATTTGCGTTTATTTACTTTTCAACTAATTTAATGATAAGTATATTTTTGGCTCATTAAAATATAATAATAAATATATTTTTACTACTCTAAAGATATTTTTTTTTCAAATAATTTTTCCATTTTATGAAATGTAGACAAACAAAAGGACGTGTTAAAAAATCTTTGGTATGCGCTTTTTAGTAGTTCTCCATTTATTTTTAGTAGTCAAGAAACTGAAGCCTGCGTAGGCGTTGGCATCTTGCCTCCATACTTCTTCAGCTTCTTTGGGTACTTGCCCAAAAAGAACATAATAATACCACCTGTAGCACAACGTGATGTGGTGCTCGAGGAATGTTAAAAATATGTATTTTTTAAATTCATATGAAACTTGGTAAATTGGTAGCAGAGCCTTATTAATTAGAGTATTTCACATGAATTTCAACTAACAGTGAAAAACATGTTTTCAAGTATTTAAGAGAAAGTATTGCTCGAATATATTTTTGGTACATCGCCATTCGTCTCATCTCACTGTTCTTTGGGCCCTATCACAATGTAAATTGCTCTTGATCTTAGGAACTTGCTTTTGTATTTGGATCAATATTCATATATACTTCAATAAGAGGAGGGCTTATGTACAACCATGTCCAACTGTCTAAAACCCGCTTTTCTCTCTAGCGTTTTTGTTTCCTGCTTCTGAAATTGGTTCATATAAAACTTTGTTTTTTTTTTTCTCTCCAGTTTTCACTGGAAGCTGCAAAACAGAAAAGAAAAACCCTAGCTTCCAGTAATCTCTCCCCTCCAGGGCTGTTTTCTCCTTTAAAGGGGAACCTTTTCTCTTTTTTATTATTATAGTTGGATTTTCTCTTTTTTTGGTAAGAGTTTTTTGTTCCTTCTCCTTCTTCCCTATATTTTTAATCTTTTTTGCCTTCATTTTCATCTCTTTTTTTTTTTTTACTCATTATTGTCCCTTTGAACTTTATGAGCTTTTTTTCTTCTACTTTAAGTCAATTAACAGCATCATCCTTTACTTCTAATGGCTAAAACTATCTCCAATATTTTTAATGGCCTTTTTACTATTCAAGTGAAGTATGGTTATAATACGGGTAGAGCTAGTTACACCAACATAGAGTAAAAAAGAAGAAAAGATAGCAAAAGAAAAAAAGTTAAAAAAAAATTATTACCATTCTATAAAATCTTATGTAATTAACTTTAAATCGATCATAATGAAATAGATAAAAATATTAATTCACAATTTATTGGCTAAATTATGGTTAAATCGATAATAAACATTTTTTTGGTAGTATATAATATATTGGTAAGCTAACATAAAATGATTAAAAAATGTTTTACTATGTAAAATTTATATTAATGAGTAAAAATTATGTTATATGTTTTAAAAGATTACAATTATTTCTAGCAAAAAAAAAAAAAACATAACAATTTATGATAAATAATTACAATTCATACATGAACCTCATTCTTTTGAATGAAAATGAACCCAAAAAAAAAATTCACTATTTTGAAAAGTGACGATTTAAACTGGCTTTCTACCATCAGTTTGTCCTAATTTGATAAGTTTTTTTTATCTTTATTTTTATATTTTACTTTGCTAACTTCTTGAGTTATTTAGATGGTGTCGTGATCTGTTCTCCAGTCTTCTTATTAATTCATTGGCAGCAAAGTAGGAATCCATTTAGGTTTCATGGCACAAACCGTTCCTTATCAATAAGCTTCTTTTGTCCGCCAAAATAAGTGTTTAACCAAAATTATTGAATAAATTAAAAAAATTGGAGATATCCAACGATCATAGAATACCAATTTAAAATTTTTTGATTATTTTATACTATCTTTATAATTATATATACTATTTTTTACATAATTTAAAGATTTATAGGTGTGTTATTCAAAATTTTGTTTTGATAAAATTTTATAAAGTTGAAAGATATTAAATATTATAAGTGCCTAAACTTAACACTCATCCATTCCAAAAAAAAAAATAGATATAAAAAAGATAAACTTAAAATGCTTACGATTTTTTACTGTATTATTACAAGCTTGCATGATGTACCTCCTAACTCTCGCACACAAATTACGCGCGCTTGTAATTACAAAAATTTTAAGCCAATGGAAGAGACTTTCAAACAAAAATAACTCATAAGATTAGGCAATAATTTTTTGTTTAATCTTATTTTACTTCTCCACATGATAGGATAGGTTACGAGAAAATGTTTTTGTATATTGCTATAAAGTTTTTAATTTTAAACGGCTTCTCATAATTAATTTTTATATTTGATTAAATTGTGATTCCGGATAAGCTCATATCCAATTCATATAAGATAAGAAAGTGCCATGTTGAAACGTATTCTACTAAATATTAAAAATTTTATACATGATTTAAATGAAAGTGACATGTAAGTATATATGTCCCCATATAGGACGTGTTTGTTATATATCCATGGCTTATATTCCTTTTCATTGTTTTCGACAAAAATTGACAATTTATTAGAGAAAATTTTGATGGGGACAAATTAAGTCACGCATCTTAAATCTTAGGGGCTAACAAGAATATTCATCCCTATTCTATATGTAAATTAATATAATCTGTCTTTGAAGGCTAAAAATTTGTGAAGCGACTCAATGGTATTTTAATGGATTAATAAACTCTTAATTACATGGATTTTATGAATATGCAATTAAATGTATATATTGTTGTTGTTGTGAGTTGGAACTTGGACACTATTGATCGTGGTACATATGATTAAAAAACAATAATACAAAGGTTCTGAGTGAAGTAAAATAGGATCCCGCATTCAACCGGTCTCTAATTTATATCTAATGACCCTTTTTTTACCATCAATTACCATAATTTCCCAACCAAAAATTAAAGTATAGTTTTTTAATGGTGAAATTAACATATCTTTACATAAAATCAAAATCAAGCTAACGGATGTTAGTTTGAGTAGAAATTAAGCTTCTAAATTCCTTTAAAACATTGTCTTAAACTCGATATTGAAAGTCATCTGTGTGAAAAAATAATATTATTTAAATTATTACTCTTATTTTAGTCACCGATCATAATTTAAATGTTTTGTCTTACGTTAACTAAGATGACATTTTAAGAAGAAAAGAAACAATGAAACAAAAATCAAAATATTATTTGAAAATAAAAGCTAAATCTAAAATTTATAACATATTAAAATTATATATTCAAACTACTATGAATAATTTAAAACTAAATAAATAAACAAAAAATAGCATCAAAATAAATGAAATTTGAGTACATGTTTAGTTTAAACTTAAGTAGTTTTTTTATAAAATTAATTTTAATTCATTAAATATGTTGATATACATGTATAAATTAATTAAAATTACATATTTTTATTCAAAAATAAATTTCTAACTTTGTTTATGAGAAACCCTTAACCGTTAAAATTATTAAATGGATCTCACAACTCCTATAGAAAGTAATCTCATCGGTTAATAAAAGCGGTAACTCTTAAATAAAGTAAAATGAATGAAGCTTAAATAGTTTGGACTCAGTTTTTACTATAGGTTTCTCTGAGTTTTTTATTTAATTTTAGAAAATATAAAATTTCAAATTTAAAAACTACAAGACAAATATCAAACAATATATTTTCCTATAATAATTTAGAGGAGGCAAGTAAAAAAGCTCATGGTCACGAGTATAACAAGTTTCACTCTGATTTCCTTATGGCGTGCACTATGCTGCATGTCATGTGGTAACAAGGAAATAATATAGTATACATTGCCTCATGATCTTAAATCAGTGAAAGTCATTCCCAGAATGGACCACTTTAGAAAGCATGAAATTATCATACGTACAATAAAGATAACTGCAGCTCCAATCAAGAACATAAATAATTCTATATAAAATGGTAATGATGACAAATTGACAATGAAAAAAAAGAGAGAGAAAGAGA